GGGGAATGTGTGTGGTGGTCCTGGGACTGTTTTTTCTAAAGCTCCACAGACCCTGCTGTCCTGGCTAAAAACCGCTAACCAACTAGTCGCTGTCTGCCAGTTCAGTTTGTCTTTCTTTACCTGTCCTTTATTAAACTTTCATTACTCTGTAGAAGGTGGTCGAAAACATACATCTATCTATATCCTCCCTTTTCCAAATGAAACAGGGGACTATTTAAACTGCTCTTATAATTTTGGAAAAATAATCTTCCTAAAACAAGTGTAGCAACAGAATACAGCGTTTGCTGTGTCTGTACAATGCTATAACGTTAGGTTTGCATAACATACATGACTCCATACAAACAAGTCCCTCCCCCGCTGCCTGCCTGCCTCCCGGGGCAGCACTGTGGACTGCGTTTATCCTCAGCTGTGACTCACAACACTGGCCTCTTCCTTCCTTGGGCTCTTCTGTTGAGATGAACCCATTCTGTTAAGATAAATTGTTAACTTTTAATAATAAACAATGAATAAACAACTCGTGACACTTGAGAAAAATGCTCCCTCTGCCTCCCAGATCTTTTGGCTCATTATTTGTGACTCTGATACACTCCCATCAAAATGTTTTTAATAGCTAGGTTTTAACCACGAAGAAGAAGAAAATGGATTCAGTGCATGAAAAGCTCTGTCTAAAGTTTGGCTGAAACCTGAAGGAGGGTCTACAGATGAATTACTTCAATATATTTTCCAATTAAGGGAATCTGCCTAGGATATGATTCAAACAAAATATTTCAAATTTTGCCTAGTCAGCTGAACGTAGAATTAGTTGTCAGTGGTTACGGATGTCAACCAGTGCATGGGTTCTGGGCTGGCTGCTTCAAAGTAACCCAGGGCGGCTCTTTAATCATACAGATTCCCAGGATTCACTCCTAGAATTTCTGATGTAGGAGGTTTGAGGTGGAGCTTGGTAATCTGTCCTCTTAAAGATTCCTAGGTGATCCTTAGGATTTCTTCCAAGCCAGGTTGAATCTTTTAGTGCTTCGGGTAAAGAAAAATGGATGTTAGTGTTGTACCAAAAGTAATTTATTGTGTCTTCCCTGTCCAGAATTGAGTGCAAACTGCTAATAGTGTGACTAACGGATGGATCCGAAGGGGGAGAGGCAGGTGTGGGAAGAGATGCGGAGGCTGCTTTGCCTTTCGGCCTGATGCAGGTTCACAGAAGAGTAGGACCTGGCACACAGATGATTCTGGAGCACTTGGAGCTCCTCACGTGAGATGAGAGATGCTACCAGAGTACCTGTTGGTGCATTTGAAGTCAGGAACGTGTAAAGAAGGCGAGTTAAAGGACTTAGGTTTTTTCAAATAAGTGTTAGATTTTGACATGGACAGTAATAACGTGTAATATTTTGTTTGTTTGTTTGTTTTTAAACTGTGAGGGTTCTCTTTGTCTTTAATTTCTGAGATAGCTCAGAAACCAGGGGAATTCAGTCTTTATTTACAACTCCTCCTCCTTAGCTTCCAGGCCAGCTTTGAGTTGTGTTCCAGTGCACAACTCCAGCAACAAGGCTGCTTGTCAGTAAATATGTTAGAGTGCATCGAGGCTCTCCCAGAGCGTCGGTGTTTATGCTTCACCAGATGAGTCATTGAGGGAGAGAGAGCCTGCCTGTTCATAAGCCAGCCTGACGTGACTCATGGCAGTTCTGGCCCCAGCCTGGACAGAGGGGCTCACAGAGGCGAACCCCATCTTACATTCGGCTCTCTCTCAGCTTGTCAGGTTTAGAAAGCATTTCCAACTGAGGGCCCCAGGGATTCTGGTACAAAAATGCTGAAAACCTCAAGTACAGTGGAATGTTTATAAAAATCACCAGGGCCCCAGTCCCGCCTAAGAGAGGTCAGGGAAATGCATTTGTCTAATCTCACAGAGGTTCTTGACCAGAGATTTCTGTTTGATTTAATCTACATCCATAGCAAATCTTAATTGAATAATGAGTCATTTATTATGAAAGTTACGCGTGTGTTTCTTGACTGTGACCCAGGCAGCTTTTGCTGTGTTCTCTCTATGTCCTTTTTCGAGTACTGCGATTGAAGGTTTTGGCCAGACTTCCTTCCTCAAGGATTATTAATGTGCTCACCTGTTGTGAGGGGGTATTCAGCAACAGATGCCCCACGAGCCAATCATTCGTGTGTGGATGGTGTGTGAGTGCCAAAACAGCAGCTTCGCTGGGGCAGCCGCTGCAGTAACTCTGCTGGGGGAGGTGGAGCCGCAGCTGGGGCAGAGATCCCGTGGGGTGGGAACAGCACGTTCTAAGGCAAAGAGAGCCTGTGGACTCTGGTTCTCCACGTAGTTTCCTGCCTGTGATGCTTCTAGGCAAAGAGATGAGGCTAAGGTTGGGGAGCTGGACTGCTCCCAGGGTGTGGTAGCACCTGAGAGGTGGCAACCTCTGTATTTTCTCCAGGTAATCTCATTAGACCCCCAACTTTTAAAACCATCCATATGCCCGTGATCCTCAAATAGTTCTCTATTTCCCACCTCTCTCCAGCACTCCAGATTCCTATACTAGCTGTCCCCATGACACTTCCACCAAGAACGCCTGAAAGCATCTCAGAAATGAATTTCCCAATCTGCTCCACTCCTGATTGTCCCCACCTCATCAATAAAAACAAAAATATAGGAACTATCTTTGGTTCTCCTCTATCCCTCCTCCCTCCACATCAAATTTACCAACTAGTCCTGCTGACTTGACCTCTAAGACATACTACAAAGACACCAACCTCCTTCAGCTTCAGCAGCTCCCCCTCCTCAACCACAGCAATAACTCCTAGCTCTGGTCTCCCTGGGAATCACTTTGTGAAACAGATCACGTTGTACCCGTCTCTGGGTGGAGTGGTTGGCAATCAAAGTCCTATTAGAGCGGGTTCAAGAGAAATTAAGTGTAGGGGAAGTGGCGCCGTGCATCTAGCCAAGTTTTGGAGAGTTTCTCTTTGAGAGGCAAATGTGGGTTGGAAGGGGTGTGTTTTTCTAAGGTGAGATGGTGCGGCATGTTTGTTTCTTGATGGAGTGATCCAGGAGAAAGGGAGCATGCGATGATTCAGGGGAGAAGGAAGGATGGCTGGGGCCATCCTTTTTCCTGGTGTCCCAGCACGTGCAGCTCATCCACAGTCACAGGAGGGGGACCCAAGTGTCTGTTCCACGGGTGGGCTTTAGGTAGGTGGGGCTGATGCACTGACCAGAGCTTGCCCCTCTTCTCTCAGTGTAGTAGGAAGAGGGTTATCAGCTGACGAGGAGGAAGATCACTGGTGGAAGAAGTGGGTCTGGAGACACATGCCTTCTTTCTGAACACACCATGGAGCCTTTAACCAGCTCTTCCCTCTGCCTGGCATGCTCTTGCCTAGGATTTTCACATGGCTGGTGACTTCGTGAGATTCAAGTCTTAGCTTAAACGTCACCTCCACAGAGAGGTTCTCCCTCACCTCAGAATCTAAAATAGCCACCCTGTCGCTACAACCACATCACTCTATTTTAGTTCTTTGAATAGCATTTATTACTCTGAGATATTTAGCTTGTTAATTTTTTACTTGTTTACATGTTTATTGCTGTATCTATTGCTAGAGATACTAGCACACACTGGGCCCTGAACAGATAGAAAAATCTTAATGAATAAACATGAGACATTCCTTTTCCTTCAAGAAAAAAGACAAATGTGTTGTGATGGAATATAATAGAACCCAATTTGGGTATATAAACTTGAATAGGCCTGGGATTAAATCCCCGAGAGAGAGAGAGAGAGAGAGAGAGAGTGTGTGTGTGTGTGTAGAGGGGTGCGTGTATATCCTGTACCCTTGGCTTCATCCTTAGCCAACTTAAGTCACACGTGGTCTGTACCCTCCTGGGCCAACAGAAGATCTCTGTGTTCTCAAGGCCTTACTTGGACTTTTGTACCAGCCTTCCTCTGCCTGCCTTCCTCCAGTGACCTCGGCATAGTTAGAGGTTCAGATACTAGCAGTGGATATTAGATAAATATCTGAACTACGTGTATCAAGAAAGAACCTTCAAAATGGAAAAATGAAGAGTCCAGGCTCTTGTCTTTAAGCCTTAAATAAACGTCTGAACAGGGCGTAAAGACCCTTCTGGCTCTGGAGCCAGCTGCAGGCTTTTCAGTCAGGCTGAAGATTGAAGCCTGGTGGCCTAGGGACAAATGCAAAGAAAGTTTCATGCATCTCAAACAGCCTCCTTTTGTCTTTAGGTGATGGTTTATAATTATAATTCCCTTAAAAAAATCCTAACCCTTCTAGGGAAAGATTCTAATTAGTCCAAAAAGATTCCTATGCATTCTTTAAAAACAAAACAACCCAGTTTAAAATAACCCATGGACATATGTGTATGTTCTGTACATGTGTTTCTTCCCTAAATCTCTAAGGATAGTACTGAAGTGCTGAATTGTCCGGATTGAACCGGTATATCATTCTCTAAAAGGAGAAGGCAGGAAGCACCTGTATACTTAGCCATTAGCCCAAGACCACTCATCCTCCCATGGTCAGGAAATACTAAGATAGTGAGCAAAGACAGACTTCAGAAAGAAAAGGGATATCCTAAGCACTGACTTGGCCCACCCTTTCAGTTAAAGCTATGGGTACTGGAATCAAAACTCCCATCAGCTTGGTGGCAAACTCTGTAAATTTGGGGAACCAAATCCACACTGATGAAAGCTAAGATTGTTAATAGATGTTTCAGACAGTTTCTTCTTCTGCCTATAAAAAGTGAGCTCTCGCAGGTAGGATAGCATGCAGTTAGGAACCCTATGATTAGTGATATTTCCTGTTTACTCCTTCAGGAAAGATCAAAGTTCCCTAGGCTCCTACAGGGACTGTCAGAGACCTGAAGGCACTTTGGTGATGGTCTGCATTTTTTTCCTGATTTGTGAAATCCACCTCATTGACTGACCCATAAATTATAAACCATGTAATCTGTTGGGTGGATAGGCAGAGTTCTGGACTGCAGTGTTTTCTGTTTTTCATTTATTTAGGCTGGAGGAGAAAAAATAGATTCAGAAGAGGCACTGATCTATGAAGAGGATTTAGGCGAAGGAGATGATGTTGAAGGCGAGTTGGAAGACAGCACAAAGTTAAAAATGTTCCGCAGGCTTGCCTCTGTGGCTTCCAAGCTTAAGGAGTTTATTGGCAACATGATAACCACCGCTGGAAAAGTTGTTGTGACGATTTTACTGGGGTCATCAGGTGAGAGTTTCTGCGCAGAGCACAAGTAGCACTTTGGTGAATGACACTGAAATAATGACTGTAGCTTTTGTAAAACTGGCCGTGTACAAACCACACACACAAAAATAGTTTTTTCTGTTTAGTTCTAATTTTTATGTTTTTAGATGCTTTCTGTTAACCTCTGTAAAACAACATTTCTCCATATCTGTTAAGTGATGTCATTTTCTATGTGTAAATTAGAAAAACAGCTATCCTTCTCCCTTAGAGCCTACGGATGGTGATAGGCTACCATGAACAATTCGAGTGTACCCATCCCAAGCTGCACATGTGCCTTCTGAAAGCATGTCTGTTTACACTGAGCAATCTTAATTTAACTCTCCAGGATATACTATTTTTCTTCCTAAGTTAGATGGTAATCTTCCAGCACAGACACTCACTTCCTTTAAATGTTGACTACAGACTGCTTATTCCATAATAATGTTATCCTGGTCTTCTCCCTTCTTCCATTCCACTCCTGAGCTACTGTGAAGTTTATTCCAATGCTGCTTAGTTGAAATGTCATGAGATGAAACTACTTAACTGCTTTTTAATAGGAAAATAAAAAAGTGGAAAAGAGAATAGAATTTCTCAAGGAATATAACCCAGTATTTTAATGAAGAGTCATTTCAAAATGCCCCCCAAAATGTTTCTAATTGCCTATAAAGAATAACCTCATTTTACATTTCCCTTTTTGGTGATAGTGCAAATCAGATTTCGTCAGGTGGGACAAAGTTTCAGTGGACTTTAACTGCCACAGGATGTAATATTAGTATGAACCCTAGTTAACCAAAACAAATCATTTTTAATGATTTTATAGTGTCATATAATGTTATTTTATAATGATTTTTGTAAGTCATTGTAAAATATGGTATCAGGGAAAGTTGGAATGGACATACAACTGTTCCTGAAAAATTTGGGCAAATAAATATGCTAAGTCTTATTGGTGTGAAAAGTAGATGTTTACTCGACTCAAACACCACAGGTAGAATTTCTTAATCATCTGGTATTTCCCCATCTTTACGAATATCACTTTGTGTGTGACTTTTTTTTCACAATAAAAATAGTATTAATTCTTATTTTATAAATAAAACATAATTAATATTTTAAAAACCTGATCAATACCTAAAGCATATGAAGGAAATTTGTATAATCTCCAATAGTTACATTTTCTGAGTGGTAAATAATTTTCCAGTCCTGTGCAGGTTTTCATGACCGAATGTCTTCTTCCTTAGGGATGATGCTACCATCTTTGACCTCATCTGTGTACTTTTTTGTATTTTTGGGTCTGTGCACCTGGTGGTCCTGGTGCCGGACGTTCGACCCCTTGCTGTTCGGCTGTCTCTGCGTTCTTCTGGCTATTTTCACTGCGGGCCACTTGATCGGACTTTATTTGTACCAGTTCCAGTTCTTTCAGGAAGCGGTCCCACCCGATGACTACTATGCACGGTAAGAGAAATCGTTCGGGCATCCCGGGGGAGTGCCCCTTTTGTGATCTTGTTGGAATGTTCACGGGTTCCTCTTGATGCCAATCGATAGGTTAAGCAAAGATTTGGTGGGGGCGGGGGGAGCAGTCTAGTGCTTTAAATGTATTGAATGACACAGTCTGGAAGGAGCTAGACGGTCTCTTCAGATGGAGCTGCTGCTGGGACACAGAAAGAGAAGAAGCTGCTGTTTGCTAAAGTAGAACAGAAACGTGGTCTCAGCTGTGGAAGGAGACCCAGAAGAACATTTTACATCAAAGAATAGTAGCGATGTGTTAAAGCATCCAGCTAGAAGGAACTCTCCTAGGCCAAATAGAGGACAAACTGAGCAACAAAAATAATAACTGATTGTAAAAATTTAAAAATAAAAATACATGAGTCCATGATGTGAAAGACAGAGAGGAAAAGAAATATCTAATTTGCTTCAATTGGAGACAACCATCACACCAACTCTTTACTGTGAAATGGGAATTAAAGGCAAAGAATCCAGCATTTACTTTGATTTTTCAGTAGGAACTCTAGGCCATTCTCAGTTAATGAGGGAATACTCCTCTTTACAGGATAATGACAACTAATGAAAGGGAAAGAAATACTAGAATTAGAAAAATTACCATTTATCAATTCTTAATGAAATGCTTGATTCTAGTCACAAACTGAAACCATTACTTAAAAAGGTTGTTGATGAAGGATGTTTGCAACAATGACAAAGTATAACCTCACTGATAATCTGCTAATTGCAAAGGAAAAAAATCAGACCTTTACAGTTGTGGTCAACACCTTAAGCAATTGATCAAAACTAGCATTACCAAAAATGGGCTAGCTCAACATGGCACAGTGGTAGATGTGATGCAATATGAGGTCTACAGCATCATACTGTGAAGACTTTGGACCTAACCTCCAATTTACAGGAAATATAAAGGATAGAAAAATAATTTAAATGTACAGGATCAGAAAAATCCAGAATATAGATTCTACAAGGCAAATGATCTGGTCTCTTCAAAAATCAGCATCATGAAAAAGAAGTGTATGTGGAGGAAATAGGGGAGGGACTGTTCCAGTTTAAGGGAGAACTAAGGAAACCTTGCAAACAAATGTGAGGCGTGACTCTAGATTACATCCTGCTTCAATGGCAAATCTCTAAAAGACATTTTGAGATTAAATGGGGAAATTTCAATATTCATTGGTTGTTAGCTGACAGTATAGAATTATCGTTAATTCCTAGGAGCATGAATGTATTGTGGATATACAGGAAAATGTCACTATTTTAGGAGATACATGGTGAATTTTTTAGGGATGAAGTGTCACGATTTCTGCAACTTTCTGCTGGTTTAGCCACAACCGTGAGAGAGAGACACACACACAGAGAAGAGAGAAAATTATTTAAGCTAAGTGGTTAACATTGAGTTGTCTATTGTCCTATTTTAACTTCTCTTTTTCTGTGGAAAAGTTCATAATTGAAAGTTACAGGAGAAAGGGGACAGAAATGGAAGGAGAGAATGTGAGGGCAGGGTGAAAATGCCAGAACTCTGCTCTGTAAAGTGTCTCTGGGAAGTGGTGTCCGTGCTTCTTGTCTTCTGGTTGAAAAATGATGATCTGTATTTGAGAAGAACATGATTAACGTTGCCATACTGACAATATAGGTTTGCATCCTTCTTTCAAGAGGTCTCAATGTGGTTTGTATGTGATAGTAAATATGAAGAAGCAACGTGTGTGCAGATCTACTCATCTAACTTTTATTGATTCACGTGTAAATTTGGCCATAATAAAAGCTAGTTTGTGACGGTGTCTATACAATGCTTAAAAAAAGTGAATCAAGTCCTAAAACCACGTATAGTCAGTTAAAATAAGTTAGTATCCAACACCCACACACAACCTTCCTAATTCTAAGTCCAGTTGGCTTAACCTGGAAGCTTAACAAGTGTAATTCTGTCTACGAAGAGAAGAATGTTACATAGACACATTAAAACTGAGAAGCCGGGCCTGGCCCCGTGGTGCAGGCGGTTAAGTGCGCGTGCTCCGCTACTGGTGGCCCGGGTTCGGATCCCAGGTGCGCACTGATGCACCGCTTCTCCAGCCATGCTGAGGCTGCATCCCACATGCAGCAACTAGAATGATGTGCAACTATAACATACAACTATCTACTGGGGCTTTGGGGGAAAAAAAAAAGGAGGAGGATTGGCAATAGATGTTAGCTCAGAGCTGGTCTTCCTCAGAAAAAAAAAAAAAAAAAAAACTGAGAAGCCAAGACACGGAAACAACTGAAGCGTCCACTGATGGAGGAATGGATAAAGAAAATGTGGTATATGTACACAGTGGAATATTATTCAGCCATAAAAAAGAAGGAAATTCTGCCATTTGTGACAACACATGTGGACCTGGAGGGCATTATGCTAAGTGACATAAGTCAGACAGAGAAAGACAAATACTGTATGATCTCACTTATATGTGGAATGTAAACAAAAAAGTCAAACTTATAGCACCAAAGATTAGAATGGTGGTTGCCAGGGGCTGGGAGGTGGGGGAAATAGGGAGAGGCTGGTAAAAGGGTACAAACTCAGTTATAAGATGAGTAAATTCTGGGGATCTAATGTACAGCAGGGTCACTATAGCTAATAATGCTGTATTGTTACTTGAAAGTTGCTAAGAGAGTAAGTCTTAAGAGTTCTCACCAAAAAAAAAAAAAATTTAATTGTGTGAGCTGATTGATATGTTAATTAACTTGATTGAGGTAATCATTTCACAGTGTATACTTATGTCGTCACATTGTACACTTTGAATATATTACAATTTCACGTGTCAATTGTACCTCAGTAAAGCTGGGGGAAAAACTGAGAAGAAGGCCCTTTAATGGTACAGACTTATGTAATATTTATTTTAGGCAGGAGTGAATAAATGCTAAATTTCAGTACAGATGTTAGTTCTAGACTAAATGAATCCTTTGGCGTTTTTTAGATATTTGATTTTTGGTTATTGATCACATATAGAAAAAAGGTGTTGTACTGTTAGAAGGGCTGACTTTCAGGGGATGACTTGATTGTAAATGTAAATAGCTTCCTCTATAGGGCAGTGGGTTCTCCACCCCACCGGCCCGCGTTCCCCGCCCACCCCCCCCCCGTTTAAGGATCTTTTCTGCCATCTAGAGACTGATGATAGGAAATACAAAGAATATTCAGAACCACCTTGAAAACACTTTTTCTGTAAAAGATCAGTTAGTAAATATTTTACACTTTGCAGGCCTGTTCTGTCGCAATTCTTTCAAGAAGCTGTCACAGAGCAAAAGCAGCCATGGACAAGGTTTAAAAGAATGAGTGTGGCTGTGTTCCAGTAAAACTCTGTTTGTGGACACTGAAATTTGCATTTCATATTATTTTCACATTTCATGAAATATTATTTTTCTTTTGATTTTTTCCAACCAATTAAAAATGTAAAAACCACATTATTAGCTCACAAGCTGTACCCAAACAGGTGGTGAACCAGGCTTGCCAATCTATGGTGTAGATGATAACGGTCCTAATCATATAATAATGTATATTTATTTTTCATTTGAATTGTTCCAAACTTAAAATTATAATTGTAATTCATTATAGACATTTTGTAGATAATCCTTTTTAAGCAGTTTAAAAAGTCTATTACTGTAATCTCATAGAGACAGTTTGAGCCAAACAATGCAATATATCCACATAAACTGCCTTGTTGTAGATTCCTCCTGCAGTAACTTGGTGACGGTAGGACATTGCATTTTAGTCCCAGAAAGCTTGGAAATTTACATATTTAAAACAATAGCTTTCTCTTAAGGCATTTCAATGCATTCTTATTAACTCCAAATTCTGAGTTGGAGGAAAGCAAACTGGAAACTAGCAAACAAAAAAAATCGTCTCCCGTGGGCATTTGTCACAAATTTCATAACTGCAGAGACTCCAGCCCGTATTTCCAGCTTCGGACATGACTGTCCTCTGAAAACAACCCAAGCCATTTTTATCTTCTTGTAAGCTTTCAGATAGGCTCTCTGGTGAAAATTATCTTTATTTTTAGAAAAATTAACTTCATTTGCTTATCATTAGTATAACATGTTTGTTGGTGATTATTTGGGAAAATATAATAAAGAATAAGGAAAAACACTTTTTAAAAATGTAATCCTAACTCCTAGAAATAAATACTATTTATTTTTTGATCTCTATTCTTTCAGTATTTTTTCTATGCATGACTGTACTTTTTTATAACAAACTTTGAATCATAACGCACATACTGCTTTATAAGTTGCTTTACTCAAGTTCGGCATTTTCCTTCCCACATTATGCAACATTCTTCTAAAATGTGATTTTCATAGGCTGCAAAGTGTCTGATTGTGTAGATGTATTATAATTTAGTCAATCCCTGGCTTTTGACGGTGTAAATTTAGCTTGTTCTTCATTTTTGCTCTCTTGAGCAATGCTGTGATGAGCACCCTCATTACTTCTAAATTTAAGCAAAACTCAGGACGAGCAAGATGAAACTTCATGTTCCCTCAGTTGTGAAAGCGCCTCTGCAGGGCAGTTTGGTGCTTGCTTCTGCTGGGGTCTGGAGGTTTCAATGGTTCTGGGCCAACGTTATGAAAATTTACCGGATAGTAATTCCCTCACCAGGCAAGTGCTGTAAATTAAAATCCCATACGTAGGTCTGACACAGATCAGGGGTTTTATTTTTCTCAAGGGTGATCCATTCTCTCAACCAGTGGCCCCAAGAGATCATAAGCTTCCTTCCAGCTCCATCCAGACCTGTCGTGGAGTTTTTCCATTACGTTTAGCCAGGGAAGTGTGTGGAGAAGGCAAACAGGAACCAGCAAGTCCATGGGATGGACAGGAGACCAAGGTTAAGGGGGAGGTGAAGCAAGGGAGTGACATTGCCTAGGGGAGGAGAGTTAGTGATTTCCTTCCATTTTTGCATGTGGCTGTCACATGACCATATTTTCCAAAACAAAAGTCAGGG